GTCCAAACCCCCCTAGAACTATCGGGAATCGAACGCCGTCCCGGCAAGAAGCGATAACCCAACGATTGTGAGTTGACTGCACTAACCACTGGGCTGCAGGTTGCTCGTATTCCGTATTTTACAGTGAACTTCACAGTAACTGTTCTCTCGCACGATTCCCATGACTGGCTCACAGTTTAATGGACCCACTGATGAGCCGGAGGGCCCAGCGATGCCTTATCAACGTAAGACCAATTTTCTGACCCTCAAGACTTAAGATAATCTCCCACTTTGGACTGGTCGGTAGAGCGACGCACTTGCTTCTTACAGGGGGAGGGAGGGTTCGATCCCCGATGGTACAAACGGTTGGGGAATCGTTCCATTCACTCCGTCCGCATATCCCAGCGCCGCCTTGACCTCCTGTCACTTCTAAATGATGTATTATTGTAGTGGCTTAATTAATTTGAATCGCAAGTTCGATCCCAGTGCATGGATTCAATATTTTATCCAAAATATTACGTTTGATGGCTATGATTTGATTTTTAGGTTCTTTCTCCTTGTTAAATTTACTTCCGAGCTTAAGCTTGAGAATAACCCAAGTTCTTGTGACTCATGGAAGGTAATCTGAAAAGATTTATACAGTTGGTGTATGACGTTTGTATTTCTGAGTACGAAATAGGAGGATATACACCCCCCCCCCTGGTGGTATAGCCAACCATATAGTTGTATAGTACGCTACTCGGACACTGATTATGTAGTTGTGTGTAGTCTGCTAGTTGGACTTACAGGTGTGGATGAGCTGCGGCTTGTGTGTGTGTGTGTGTGTGTGTGTGTGTGTGTGTGTGTGTGTGTGTGTGTGTGTGTGTGTGTGTGTGTGTGTGTGTGTGTGTGTAAGTTATTGTGTTTGCGTGACGGCATGTGTGGGTGCGCTCTCCTTCGTGCACATGCGTGCCTGTGTTTGCTCATTCAAGCGTGTTTAACTCTATGATAAGAACACCCCATCCAGAATTACCAACCCGAGTTGGCAGGTCGCCCCTCAGTTAACAGGTCCCTGAGCTGCTGCTGCTGCTGCTGTTCCTGCTGCTGCTGCTGCTGCTGGTGCTGCTTCTGCTGGGCGAACAGCTCTCTATATCTCTTGAATTCTTCTGTATATTTCTACGAATGTTTGTGTCATATTTTTCTTGTGGCAAGGACTGGCTACTTCACATGTTCATATTCGTCCCCCCCCCCACACCTCTTCCCTTACTCCTGTATACACTCCCCCCCCCCCTCCCTCCTGTATACACTCCCCCCCCCTCCCTCCTGTCTACTCTCCTCCACCGTATCCTACACCCCGCTCTCCTTAATATTCCCTATCTAACCTACATCGAAATTTCCCCTCCATTATATTAGTTTTAAGCTACTCTCTCTCATTCTTCCCTACAGTACACACTCTTCCCTACACACCATTACTCCCATACGCACCTTATACTTCCCTGCGCCTTATACTTCCTGATCTTTCTACTTCGCTCTAGTTCCCTCATATCCTCCTCTTAAATTTAGGTTCATTCCACACTCGTATATTTGTCTTTACACTTTCCCTTAATCCCCTTCCCTCTTGCATTCCCCTTACACCCTCTCTCTCTCTCTCTCTCTCTCTCTCTCTCTCTCTCTCTCTCTCTCTCTCTCTCTCTCTCTCTCTCTCTCTCTCTCTTTCTCCTCTAAACTTTCTTCTTTCCTTACTCTCACTTACACCTTGACACTCTACACTCGCTCTTCACTACACCACCTCTATTCTTCCACACTGGAGAAAAGTCAGTATATATATATATATATATATATATATATATATATATATATATATATATATATATATATATATATATATATATATTTATATAAACACAGAATAATGATTTAAGAACGTCATTGAGTAAAGATTTCAGGACGTCTTCCCATTTCAGTTGTTCAAAAATACTCTGCTACCAGCAATTAAGTCACACTAAATGCTTGCCAGTGTAAACCATGTGAGTGTACGGGCCACGGCGCCCGGCAGTGAGATTCAGTGATAGAATTCGGCTGGGATATCACTGCTTATTTTTTGTCATTGTTGGGAGAGCGATGGGAAGCATGTTAGGGGGATCGAGGTCACTTCTAGGTCAACTTCTGACCTTCTCTCTAGGTTGCAAGCTGCAATAGGGGTTTAATTTCCAGGTACCTATTTAATGCATGGACCAGTTCATGGGGTTATTAGCTAGAAGATGGGGGGAGGGAGCACGGTTTCTTCGGGATGAGAGGATGCTTTGATCTAGCGTTGCTCATCTTAGAGGTACGAGGAAGCTGTGCCCAAGCAAAATTCATCTTAGAGAAGGTAGGATGCTGTAACTATTTTCAATTATGTATAACAAATCACGTGGTTTTGTTATTAATTGCCATTATTAAATGGATAAGAAAACGTGCCCAAACGTCTCCGTTCTACCGCAATAATCGAAGCCAGAACCTTTCATTTGTTACCTAAATGCATTGACCACTGTGCTACAGGTAATCAATCTTCTAACACCAAGCAATCGCATGGTGTTAGAATGTGATTTAATCGTAAACGCTATGATAAACGGAGAGGTGCTCATTAACCACTTGGACCACTGGGGATCGAACGCAGACCTGTAAGAAGCGAAGCCGTCACTGTACCGATCACTACAAGTGAATAGTGCTAGTGCAGGCTTTACTAGACTCGATATTTATCCTTACTAATTCCCTTTAGTAAGGATAATCCTTACTAATTCCTTTAGTAATTCCTTAAGAAAGAAAAACTAGCTTCCTCTAGATTGAACTCTATAGGCCCTCATTAGCTTTACCCCAGCGGCTCAGTATCGATTTAACTTAGGCCTACTTAAAGCGTGTTAACTAAAAAAATATAAATTGTACCTGTAAGCAGCACAGGTATCAGATGTGCTTATACCCTTATGCGCTTAGGTTTGGGAGCCGGTCGGCCGAGCGGACAGCACACTGGACTTGTGATCCTGTAGTCCTGGGTTCGATCCCAGGCGCCGGCGAGAAACAATGGACAGAGTTTCTTTCACCCTATGCCCCTGTTACCTAGCAGTAAAATAGGTACCTGGGTGTTAGTCAGTTGTCACGGGCTGCTTCCTGGGGGGTGGAGGCCTGGTCGAGGACCGGGCCGCGGGGACACTAAAGCCCCGAAATCATCTCAAGATAACCTCAAGATAACCCGTATAAGGTCCAGGAATTTTGACCCCTGTCGACGTTAACCATTAAAATTCCAGGGGCCAGATTCACGAAAGCACTTACGCAAGCACTTACAAACGTGTACATCTTTCCTCAATCTTTGGCGGGTTTGGTTACATTTATTAAACAGTTTACAAGCATGAAAACTTGCCAATCAACTGTTGTTATTGTTATAAACAGCCTCCTGGTGCTTCCGAGCTCATTAACTGTTTAATGATTGTAAACAAAGCCGCCAAAGATTGAGAAAAGATGTACAGGTTCGTAAGTGCTTTCGTGAATCTGGCCCCAGGGCTCAAGTGAAGCTAAAAGCCCCGCAATAATGACGTTTCTCCGCACTCAGAAGCATTGGATTCGATGGGTTTTGGTGGGGTCGCTTAGGTTTGAACGCTTCTGGTTAGATTTAATGAGTTTAAGTCAGATCGTGATCCTTTTATCTTCCGATTAAGAAACTCAAGACGGCTATCTTTCTTCCTTCCTCTCTTCAGGTGGTGAACAAGTTCCTCTCTCTCTCTCTCTCTCTCTCTCTCTCTCTCTCTCTCTCTCTCTCTCTCTCTCTCTCTCTCTCTCTCTCTCTCTCTCTCTCTCTCTCTTCGTGTTCCTCACTGATCATCACCTCATCAACAACATATAATTAGATAATTAGCTAATCACTGCAAAAACCTTATATAATATTAAACTCGCACGAATTTGTCTGATTATAGGGCACAGCGCCTGTTATCGATGTCAGGTGGATGGATATCAGTGTCTGGTTGTAGAACACAGCGCCTGTTATCAATGTCAGGTGGATGGATATCAGTGTCTGATTGTAGAGCTCAGCGCCTGTTATCGATGTCAAATGGATGGATATCAGTGTCTGATTGTAGAGCACAGCGCCTGATACCGATGTCAGGTGGATGGATATCAGTGTCTGATTGTAGAGCACAGAGCCTGATACCGGTGTCAGGTGGATGGATATCAGTGTCTGATTGTAGAGCACAGAGCCTGTTATCGATGTCAGGTGGATGGATATCAGTGTCTGATTGTAGAGCACAGAGCCTGTTATCGATGTCAGGTGGATGGATATCAGTGTCTGATTGTAGAGCACAGCGCCTGTTATCGATGTCAGGTGGCTGGATATCAGTGTCTGATAGCAGAACACAGCGCCTGATACTGGTGTCGTCAAAGGCATACCAGCACCAAATGTTCGTGTTATTCACCTTTAAACTGAGCATTTCAATGCCTTGTCGACGCGGCCATTTGCCCTTTGGACTTAAGATAAAGAATGCCAGTGGAGCTATGTCGTGAGGCAGGGAAGAAACAGTGTGTAAGGGAGAGAGTTGGAGATGGTGAACAGAGGATGAAGAGAGAGAGAGAGAGAAGAGAGAGAGAGAGAGAGAGAGAGAGAGAGAGAGAGAGAGAGAGAGATAACAGAAGAAATAAGGAAACTGCTGAAGCCTATTGGCTAATTCGAGCAGCTCCCATTTAAGAGAGAGAGAGAAAGAGACAGACAGACAGACAGACATTCAGACAGACAGACAGAAACAGGCTATCGAGTTTTTTTCCCCCGAGCAAAGGTGCAAGAAAATGCGATAACAAGAAAAGGCTAGATGAATATAACACCGCAATTGAAAAGATAGTTCAACCCATCAGGCAGACAACCATTAATGATTTCTGTTAAAAAAGTTGTAAGATTTGGAGTTTAAACAGCAAACGATGACGACAAAGTCAATGAAAGGTGGATATCCCGACACTCATAAGATAGTGTAGGGGAAAACGGTTTATATAATACAACAAAAAAGAAGATACAATATTGGGACATGTTAGTTGCGACAAAGCTGAGACACAGCTTGGTAAGCTGTGATTGAACGCTGTTGAGAGAAAGAGAGAATTAGTGAAATCTTGTTTCTATGCTGCCTTTACCATGGCAAGCTTACTCACCGGCCGTGTTCAGGGTGAGTCAAAGTGAGTTCACGATGAATGTCATCACTGTAAATGTTTTTTTTAATGGAAGGAAATGCATTGCATAGTTTCACGAGAAATTTCATGTGATTCTTGAATGACATGAATCATTGTATTAACTTAACGATACCTGGCAAGGCTAAGATCTTGCCATCACACACGTCACACACACACACACACACACACACACACACACACACACACACACACACACACACCACCCCCCCCCCCACACACACACACACACCACACCCCCCCCCCCCACTCACACATACACACACACACACACACACACACACACACACACACACACACCGGATTTCCCAACCATTAGTTTGCCTTATCACTAACTTTCTGTACACCTCTCTCCCCCCCCCTGTATAACCCCCTACACTCCTTCATTAACACCCCCTCCCCTCAACCCCCCCCCCCCCACCCACACCCTAACACGTCCACTCCACATTCCATAAAAACAGTACATCGAGATATCATATATAAGAAGCAGGCATCAAGTTTCTGGGCGTTGGCTCGGGCCAGACACAGGCTGAGCGCTGGTAAAATTGATCGTCCCGTCTGCGTTCCTGAGTGTTCTCATATGAGTGTTTTACCTCTCGTGTTCTCATTAGTCCTGTCCGCTTTAAATATCCTCTCGGTGTGTGTTTGGCTTTGGTGTTTCACTGGTGGTTTTTCTCTTCTTTTTTAATATTTGTTTTTCCTAGTATTTTTTTTTTAGTTGTTTTCCAGGTGTAAGCACGTAGTCCTGCAGGTATCAGGTGTGTATTGTCCTGACGTGGCGCTGTTTCCTGTTGCCGTCCATTTTGATCCATCTTTTATGCCCTGGACATTGGGCTGATGTTTCCCCCTGAGCTCCTTGGGTCATTTCAAGTAGACATCTGTTTGAGTCACTTTTACGACAACGCAGTTCAATGGGTTATGCATGCCTCTTGCGTGACCTATGCTGCTGCTGGCATCATAAGACACGCCGAGGGTATCGTAGGTCACGCATTTTGTATGACCTATGCTGCTTCTAGCTTCCACTACCCTGCTCTAAAGATTTTTTATCATCTGTGCTTGTTTGCTGATTAATAAAAATTAGTAGTTCCCTTTGGCCTCGGTCACATTCCCACAATATTCATATAAATACCACAATTTACCTTTTTTTAAATAATTACCATAGCATCTAAATTATGTCAATAATAGTTGAAATACAAGTACTGATAGTAGTGGGCCAGCCAGAAGTTTAATCTAGTAAGTTTTTTCTTTTCTATACTGAGAAAAGAATCCACGATATTGAACAAAAAGGGATTTAATATTAAAATTCATATTACGTATTAGTAATTGATAAAACATTCCCCACGATTTACTCTGGAGAAGACATCTTATAGGTCAACATTTATTCCATATTCTGATTTACATTGTAAACAAAATTGAGTAGTCGGACGCAATAAAAATATTGTCCTAATGTTTTGACAAAATTCATTCAGCGTTTTTTATTAGTAATCGGGAAAATAATTGGATCGTAATTCTAATTCGAAATCCATCTTCCTCGTTGATTGTCAAATTCCATTTTATTTTATTTTTTTTAGGCGCAAACACAAACAAATATGTTCCCAAAGCTTTAGAGAAGACATCTGATAGCACAAAATGTCTTCCTAAATGTTCTCGGAGAGAAGAAATCTAGCACTCTAATGAACAAATCCACTAGGGCCGTGACGAGGATTCGAACCTACGTCCGAGAGCATCCCAAACGCTTTCTTAATCGACTGAGCTACGACATGGTAAAAGAAGTGGAACCGGGAAATCAACCTAGTCTAGCACTGCAGTAAAATAAGCACATTCCTCACTTTCAAAATCAAAATAGTGCAATGAATATCCAAGTCTTGGAGTGACTTTGCTTCCTCCTTGGAGAGTGCATGACTCCACTACCTACCCAGAGAGTGCATGACTCCACTACCTATCCCCGGAGAGTGCATGACTTGTGGAGGCGAGACTGGGGAAGGTTCATGATCATTTCATGCACGACTGAACCAATTAAACCAGGGCCGGCATGTTGGTTCATCTGAGGAATAGGTGGCGGTTCCGTAGGAAGCGTGGGACGTGGGGCGTAGAGAGGTTGTTGGGGTCGAGTGGGGTTAGGTCATAAGGGACAGTTAGGGTATGTTATAATGGCCGGACAGGTTGCTTTATAACAGTCAGGGGACAGGGTGGGTTTTAATGGTCTGACTAGATGGATAAGGGTCGAGAAGGTGGGTTAAAGAAGAGAGATTTGGGGTTTAAGGGGTAGGATGAGGGGTGAATATAAGTAACTGGACCATAGTATAAGGGGAGAGGCTGAATACAACACAGCGTGCAATACAGATCTTGCTGTAACCTCTGAATATATATATATATATAGAGGAGGCCTGGTCGAGGACCGGGCCGCGAGGCACGTTAAGCCCCGAAATCACCGCAAGGTAAGGTAAAGGTAACCATAAACACGGGGTACACTGCAGGCCATCACTGTAACTCAACCCACACACACACGTGAAACATCCATCTGAGCTGAACATCTTCAGGATCTAAGATGAATACTCACCAACATTAAGCACTTCCAGTTTGCCATAAATAATACCGAGAATTAAACACAAAAATGTTTGACTTGTGTTTTGTTTATTTTTTGCAAAATATTTCGAAAGGAATAACGTTAAGCATTCATTTCTTGGATTTTCCAGTCGCTATCTACAACGTCCTCTTGAACACCATTTGTAATCTGCGATTTCCTTGTGTATTCCAATTGTTATCTGCGATTTCCTTGTTTATTCCAATTGTTATCTGCGATTTCCTTGTTTATTCCAATTGTTATCTGCGATTTCCTTGTTTATTCCAATTGTTATCTGCGATTTCCTTGTTTATTCCAATTGTTATCTGCGATTGATCCACGTGGATTTTCAACACTTTTTCTAAATGCTTACTATGACCTGTTACTTTTAAACAGCTTAGCACTTAGCACTATATGGAAATGTCCACTTGAATACCCGCACAGCTTGTTGGGATAACCTCGCTTTAACACCTACATTCCATATTAAATACTTCAATATATATATATATATATATATATATATATATATATATATATATATATATATATATATATATATATATATATATATATATATATTTTCACGCCCCTCTTAGTTTCGAGCTTAAGTACTGACTACCAGGAGGTCTTGACGGTGAAGATAGCAGTTGATAAGATCTTTATCAGTGGACAAACGTGACTCTTCACTCTAGCCTGGAGTTCTTCGTCCGTATATACGTCTGGAGAGGTTCAAGCATGACGGGGTATGACTTGGTAGTGCAAGGAGAGAGAGAGAGAGAGAGAGAGAGAGAGAGAGAGAGAGAGAGAGAGAGAGAGAGAGAAAATATTGAAACAATCGATATGTTAAAGTCTCCTTCTAAATATTCGTTTATGTGCAGAATACTTTTTGTTTTCCAGGTTACATTTACATATATTTCTTCACCTTTTCAGGTATTTTTTTCCTATTGTTCCACTATCAGGATAATGCTCAAACAACAAGACTTTGTTTTTATTTCGTTTTTTTCATGCCAAAAAAAATTGGCAAGATTTATAAGTTAACACGATTCTATTATTCATAATTTACATCACTGTAAATGCCAGACACCTGTTACAATAATGGTAAAAGTATAACTGACATTTACATGTAAATACCTCCGACTCCATTGTTTGAAATCTAGCAACTAACTAGAGAGGGCCTTAAACACATCACTTGTGAGTCTATTTACATTTCTTGATGAGCTTTTCTACGTCTCTTTATATGTTAATTCCTTACTTAATCTCACTACCTTCATACTTAATATATTATCTGAGATTAAAGGTTTTATTTTTCTCTGTACTTCTTGCTAGTTAGGTTGCAGAGGTGAAGCCCATCGGTTGTAAAAATATTTGTAGCTTTTAGACATTAAATTTCATGGGTAAAATGCAATTAAATACCATGGTACAAAGCGCTGTTTACTAGGAGTGGTAAAAGATGTATACTGCAAGAAATTTTTGCTTACTACTTTTTTTATCTTTCTATTATGTGTGCAGGTTCACGTGGAGGTTCTGATCCGACCCTTTCATGTGTGTGTATTTATAAATATGTTGAATGTACTTTTTCATTAGCGTGTTTGTATATTTATATAGCTGCGTTGATCTGACCCTTTCATGTGTATGTGTATATTCAAAGCCTATATTGAGCCTACCATTCTGTGTGAGCTCTCACATAGGTGTGTGTGTGTGTATACTCACCTAGTTGTGCTTGCGGCGGTTGAGGTCTGGCTCTTTGGTCCCCGCCTCTCAACTGTCAATCAACTGCAGTGTGTGTGTGTGTGTGTGTGTGTGGGTACTCACTTAACTGTTGCTACCAACTGCTGTTGCAAAGTTAAGCTTGCATGTGCTTGTGAGAGTTTATGAGAACGTTCTGCAGTATCAACATGGCTTCAAACCCACAAAATCTTGGACATCCAGCAGAACCGCATTACCTGGACATGTAGAGGATGTCTGTGAGGATTCTCTGTGGTTCTGAACCTAAGTCCGATCGATGACAGCGTTTTAGAAGCTGAGCTAAACCCCCCCTATGAAAGGAATTAAGGGCTAGTAAGCATTTTCCAACACTACAGCGTCAAGTGATGGAGGTGAAAATACCAACGCCAGTGGGGCATCTAATCTTAGGATTCTGGGCCACAGCCAACCATCTTGAACCTACAGTAGACCGTCCTCATAAACAATGACCACAAGCTCGTTAATCCAACAGCTAAAACGCCTATTTATGAACGAAAAGCACTTTACTCACGACTCACAACTGGTGACGTTCGAAAAAAAATTCAAACAGTGTTTCGCTCACGTCTTCTATTCGAATCGCACCTCTAAATCCTCCAGCCTGTCCGCATAAATCCTGCTGAATGGTAGTTAATCCAGCAGACAAACCCCCAGTTTATGAATGAAAAACGACTCACAACTACTGATGTTCGACCTTTTCTTGAGCATTGCTCTGCAGTCTTTCTGTCTTCTATCCACAACTCTATAAACTCTTTACGCCACGTTTGAAATCAGAGACTTGTTTTCTTTAGAGTTTTTCTAGCAGTTTGTCAGGTAATGTAATCGTAAAGTTAAATTTCCTTAAAGAGGTTAAAGGGTGAGAGAGAGAGAGAGAGAGAAGAGGTGAAGGAGGGGAAGAAAGGAATAAAAGGTGCAAGGGAGGTGGAGTTTGGGAGAGAAGGGGAGATGGAAGGAGAGGGGTGAGAGATAGCATGTTGGAGAAGAGGTGAGAAGGAGGAGGAGGAGAGGGAGCAGGATTTGGGAGAGAAGTCGAGGAGAGAAGAGAGGATAATTATTTGTTGGCTCCGATTTGATGGGTTACAGGTTGCTTGTGGCTTCATATCCCACCTGGGATATGAAGCTGGGATCACAATTCCGCCCCGCCCCAAGTGGATGCCACTCTCAGAGCCTCAAGACCCCTGGAGAGAGGCTTCACCGAAGCCCCCATTCCGGGTTCCCAAGTTTTCAGTCAAATGATTGCATGATATAATGAACATATTGGTTAAGAATGAAGTACAACAACATTGCAACACAACCCAGGTTGTGAGCCGGGTTTAGTACTGAAGTCCCAGATGCTCTTAGTCCAAGTGATCTCATAAATATATTTGTTAAAATTTGCAAATGTTGCCTTCCACCACGGTCATAATTTTCATGTAATCAGGTTATAATTAGTGTGATGAAAATAAATATATTTCGTTGTAGCCATGTAATCATTTACAAAATGCAACTCAAGAAATTTGTAATTAGCGATGAAAGGAGAGAAAACTTAAAATTTTACTCGGAAAAATTTATATATATATATATATATATATATATATATATATATATATATATATATATATATATATATATAATACATATTTTTATTAATAATTCAGATCTGATAGTGTTTTTTAACACTCGTAGTATTTTAATCAACGTTCTTTTTTTAATATTTGTGTTATTATAATCATATTTCCTACATTTATTCTCTTCTGAAACGTCATAAAAAACACCCTCAATATAGGGTCTTTCATAGGCTTCTTCATCCTCTCTGTCACGCTACACATCATCCTCTCTGTCACGCTACACATCATCCTCTCTGTCACGCTACACATCATCCTCTCTGTCACGCTACACATCATCCACTCTGTCACGCTACACATCATCCACTCTGTCACGCTACACATCATCCACTCTGTCACGCTACACATCATCCACTCTGTCACGCTACACATCATCCACTCTGTCACGCTACACATCATCCACTCTGTCACGCTACACATCATCCACTCTATCACGCTACACATCATCCACTCTATCACGCTACACATCATCCACTCTGTCACGCTACACATCATCCACTCTGTCACGCTACACATCATCCACTCTATCACGCTACACATCATCCTCTCTGTCACGCTACACATCATCCACTCTGTCACGCTACACATCATCCACTCTGTCACGCTACACATCATCCACTCTGTCACGCTACACATCATCCACTCTGTCACGCTACACATCATCCACTCTATCACGCTACACATCATCCACTCTATCACGCTACACATCATCCACTCTGTCACGCTACACATCATCCACTCTGTCACGCTACACATCATCCACTCTATCACGCTACACATCATCCACTCTATCACGCTACACATCATCCACTCTGTCACGCTACACATCATCCACTCTGTCACGCTACACATCATCCACTCTGTCACGCTACACATCATCCACTCTGTCACGCTACACATCATCCACTCTGTCACGCTACACATCATCCACTCTGTCACGCTACACATCATCCACTCTGTCACGCTACACATCATCCACTCTGTCACGCTACACATCATCCACTCTGTCACGCTACACATCATCCACTCTGTCACGCTACACATCATCCACTCTGTCACGCTACACATCATCCACTCTGTCACGCTACACATCATCCACTCTGTCACGCTACACATCATCCACTCTGTCACGCTACACATCATCCACTCTGTCACGCTACACATCATCCACTCTGTCACGCTACACATCATCCACTCTGTCACGCTACACATCATCCACTCTGTCACGCTACACATCATCCACTCTGTCACGCTACACATCATCCACTCTGTCACGCTACACATCATCCACTCTGTCACGCTACACATCATCCACTCTGTCACGCTACACATCATCCACTCTATCACGCTACACATCATCCACTCTATCACGCTACACATCATCCACTCTGTCACGCTACACATCATCCACTCTATCACGCTACACATCATCCACTCTGTCACGCTACACATCATCCACTCTGTCACGCTACACATCATCCACTCTGTCACGCTACACATCATCCACTCTGTCACGCTACACATCATCCACTCTGTCACGCTACACATCATCCACTCTATCACGCTACACATCATCCACTCTATCACGCTACACATCATCCACTCTGTCACGCTACACATCATCCACTCTATCACGCTACACATCATCCACTCTATCACGCTACACATCATCCACTCTGTCACGCTACACATCATCCACTCTGTCACTACACATCATCCACTCTATCACGCTACACATCATCCACTCTGTCACGCTACACATCATCCACTCTATCACGCTACACATCATCCACTCTGTGACACACGTTACTCCGAAAAATTCAACTCTGGGAGTAACATCAAGTCTATGTTCTTTGTATATAGACTCCACTCATAGACGGGCACAGGTGACCAATCAGTAATCACGGTCTACGCTATCATTAAACGATTAATTTTCGCAATTAATTACAAGATACACCAATTAACTTTCACAATTCACTGAACGCTCGTCCAATAAGCATCGTGTTTTGTATCATAACAACATCCAATTAGCTCGGAGAATTATGCAAAGCCGCTACCAATCATCTGCAAGAATTATACCCCCACGTGAAGGTAATTAGACTCTACAGCCCCGTCGACTAACTCCTGAGGCTAATCACCTCGTGATTAGGCCTGTAATCACCGTCTCAAGTATATAACTAAGTTATAAAACGGTTCATACCGTCAAATTGCTGAAAATAATGTAATTTAATTACAAATTTGAAAGAAGTTTCTCTAGAACGATTGAAGAAGTTTCACGAAAGTTGTTAGTGATACAACTGCTTGAGTGATACAAGAAATATAATACAAGTAAATAAAGTTTTTTCCGTAGTTAGATATAAGGTAGTCGCTGAATTCATTACGAAGTCGCCCGGAGGTAGACTGATTGAATTAAATTATCAAGGAAAAAGTAACAGTATCTTGAATGTAAACATTAAAAAAATTCTTACTTACAGATTTGATTGAGGGGTTATAAAGTGCATTGTATATATGTATATATGTATATATATATATATATATATATATATATATATATATATATATATATATATATATATATATATATATATGTGTGTGTGTGTGTGTGTGTGTGTGTCGAACCTAGTAGCCAGAACGCACTTCTCGGCCTACTATGCAAGGCCCGATTTGCCTAATAAGCCGAGTGATTTTCTTTATTTTCAATAAATTGTTTCCAATTAGTTTATTTGAATTATCATTATTATGTTATATTAGGAACATAAATTATTGACTTAATTGTGTTAGTTTAGGTTAAGTTAAAATAGGTTAGGTTAGGTTAGGTAGGGATGGTTAGGTTCGGCCATATATCTACGTTAGTTTTAACTCAAATTTCGTTAAATTAACTTATAAATAATGAAATGGACAGATTTATCATTTCATAAGAAAAAATATTGAAAAATATATAAATTCAGGAATATATATATATATATATATATATATATATATATATATATATATATATATATATATATATGTGAGGTGAAACATAGAGGCTGCAGAAGGCTTATTGGCCCATACGAGGCATCTCCTATCTAAACAAAGATTAATCCAGTGTAATTGGCCTGTTATGTTGGACATTGTCTTCTGTGTTGGCATCGATATGTTCTTGTCTTGTCCTTACTCTCATGGTGGGTAGAGTAAATAGTTCCGTGATTTGGGTGTTCATGGTAGGTCGCTCTATTCTTATGTGAATTGCCTCAAGAATTTGTAATCTTCTTGCATCTAGGGTTTTGTCTATTATGCAAGTATTCTTGTTCAACATTTCTCTTGTTAGAGTAATGTCATGGGCTTGTCTCATGTGATTCCTAGGGGCACCAGATTGAAGATGGCATGTCAAACGCCTCGTCAGCTTGGTCGACGTCATACCTATGTACTTACATTGAAGGTTACATCCTTCGTGGGGCAAGTGTACATGTATACAACGCTACATTGTAGCGTTGAAAGAAATAATGAAAGAAATAATCCGTAAAGGAGTAAAAAGCACTACCCCTAACCAAAACATAAACCTGATAATATTCTACAAAACCAAGAAGACTTCCGAACTCCTTATCAAAAACAGCCCGAAGCCGACGGAGAACCCTCTACAGCAGTCAAGCGTTGTATACATGTACACTTGCCCCCACGAAGGATGTAACCTTCAATGTAAGTACATAGGTATGACGTCGACCAAGCTGACGAGGCATTTGACATGCCATCTTCATCTGGTGCCCCTAGGAATCACATGAGACAAGCCCATGACATTACTCTAACAAGAGAAATGTTGAACAAGAATACTTGCATAATAGACAAAACCCTAGATGCAAGAAGATTACAAATTCTTGAGGCAATTCACATAAGAATAGAGCGACCTACCATGAACACCCAAATCACGGAACTATTTACTCTACCCACCATGAGAGTAAGGACAAGACAAGAACATATCGATGCCAACACAGAAGACAATGTCCGACATAACAGGCCAATTACACTGGATTAATCTTTGTTTAGATAGGAGATGCCTCGTATGGGCCAATAAGCCTTCTGCAGCCTCTATGTTTCACCTCACATTTTTATCCCTTATATATATATATATATATATATATATATATATATATATATATATATATATATATATATATATATATATATATATATAAATTCAAGTATAAAGTGTTGAGATACGCCATTGGGCACCATGAAAAAAAATATTAACATGATATCGAGTTTAGGGAATTAAAACTTAGAAAATTCCCTGGGGCCTTTTGGCGTAACTTGAATTTGAAGGTTCCTTAACTTATTTGAGTAGTAATTTAAGGTTTACTTTGCATTCTGTTGTCTTAACTTCTATATACGAAGAGCAGCCCCATTATTGAGCGTGATAGCATCAGTTGGTGCGGCCAAGTAAAGTCTGTGAAGGTTAGTGGCTCAGTAAGGCTTTTCTTTATCTTTTTAATTTAATGATGCAGATTTTTCTAGTCAGACTTTTTGTTATAGTAAATTTATAAGATTAGAACAGATATATTTGTATTCACAGTATGTATAATTATATATATATATATATATATTATATATATATATATATATATATATATATATATATATATATAATATATATATATATATATAAATTAGCGGTTTTAGTTTCTGGTTTATGCATTATCTTGTAGTTTATTTCACAAAGTTCACCATATTTCTTTTGTGCACTGTTATCAACAGACTGATTTTTCACTTGTGCCGAAAACCTTCTCAGTGATTTGTTTTGAATATACTATAGTTTTCTTTGATTCATTTTAGCTGCTAGTGTTAGGGCAAAGGGGCGGCTATGTTATGAAGCACGCATGAAGGCTTTGTTTAAACTAATCTGTGTACGAATATGTCTTAATCTGTGTCTTAGCCCATGGGATTTGAGTGCTGTAAGGGTTTTATGAGGTTATGTATGTATGTGTGTGTGTGTACATATTCTTAGTTTTCTATCATAAGGGCTGGTACCGCTGTTAATGGTGGTAGACGTACTTGTAACTTACTGACGGATATCGTGGCTATAATTTAATTGGGATTGTGTACACTAGCTTATTGTAAAAGAAGTACGAGATTTCAGGCATGTTTGGGTTAGTCTGGATACGAAAGCTGTACCCCAAGTGATTGACTGTCACAGTGCACTTGTAATGAGCTAAGTGCAAAAAAAAGACACCTCGAGCACTATTTACGTAGGACAGACATAACTATCTGTAGTTATGTATGTAAGTTAGATTAGCATTTTTAAAGCACAACAATCACTCTCTGTGGTTGATTGTTCAATAAATTACTGAGCTATATGTTTAACAGATCTCTATCCCTGTCCATGGAGGACAGAAGAAAATGTATATATGTTGGATAGCATTTTAAATGTGTGGCCACGTCTGTGGTAGACAAAAATATATATGAAATTAGGAACTTCGTCTATATTACATCATATGAGTTAGGGAGTAACTAGGTCCTGGAATAGTCCTTTACGTAAACACTTCCTAATGTTGAAGCTAGAATAGAGCCAGTTAGGCAGCATTAAGGTAAGTGCCCTTTAAGGGTTAATGTTGAAGTAGTCGAAATGTGGTTTTGTTTTGTTTTATAATGAAATTAAGTTTAATTTCATTATAAATTATATATATAATGTTAAATGAAATTTATATTAAATTATGTTTTTGTTCTTTATCGCATGCTATATCAAAAGTGTTATCAATGTCTTTAATTATGAGTGATGTTTTGATAAATAGTTTATTATTGTATATGAAGTTTGCTATGTATATGAAGTTATATTATTGTATTATGAGTTTGAGGGGTGGGTGGTTTGCTACTCTACTATCTACTATCCAGCTACTCTACTAACTACTCCAGCTACTCTACTATCTACTATCCAGCTTCTCTACTAACTACTCCAGCTACTCTACTATCCTAGAAGAGTAGCTGGAGTAGTGGGGAAAGTGTGCTACGGGCAGTGGCAGTAGGAATGTGCTTTGGAGCACTCGGTGTTGACGAAACAAGAGGTTTGGGCCATTGGAATGGGGCGGTATTAACAAAAAGGTGATATTTATGATTTTCAAATCAATACGCAATTATTGGCGTGGATATTATGGTTATAGCGTCGATGTTAGTGACTGGTGCTTGTGGTGGTGGTGAAGAGAGTTGGTGGTAGTGGTGGTATTGGTGAAGAAAGTTGGTGGTGGTGGTGGTAGTGGTGGTGGTGAAGAGAGTTGGTGGTAGTGGTGGTGGTGGAAGTGGTGGTGGTTGTGGTGTCAGTGATGAGGGGTCGTACTTACCTATTGGGTGACTAAAGGGAGAAGGTTAGGTCCGGCTCCGATCCGTCGCCTTGCTGTAAATGTTGCGTTATAGTTGAGCTTTTCAGACGTTTCAATCTGGCCTCTTAAGTTGTGGATGGAGGTGGCTTCCATAACTACTTCTTTCAATCAATCCACTTTGTTGACCACCCGTACAGGGTACAAGTATCGCCTTATATTTGCAGACTATGAGTCACGATAACGTAGTTGAAGATATCATAGCCAAAACCACACACCAGAAAAGGAAGAAACGACAATGTTTCAGTCCTCCTTGGACAATTATGAAGTCACGTAATGGGGTTGATAATGGTCCACGGCGGACCATTAAGAGACGGACCGAAACGTCGTCGTCTCTTCATTTTCTGGTGTGTGGTTTGGTCACTATTTCCTAGCAATTCTTGGACGTCGTAGCAATTCTTTGTATTTCCAGTTTCCACTTGTGTCCTCGTTCTACTGTCTCTCTCACTTTAAAATGGCTTTTCTTTGCCCAGCTTATTTGTCTATTTATCTCAGTATCTTGTATGTTGTGATCATATCTCACGCATTTCTTCTCGTTTTCCAGGGTTGGGAGGTCC